TATACTATACTATACAATACTATATAGCATACTAAATAGTACTTATAAAGTATACTATACTATACAATACTATACAGTATACCATATAGTACTTATATAGTGTGCTATAATATACTATAGTAAATAGTATACCATAGTATATAGTATACTATAGTATACTATACAAACAATATAAAGAACTATATACAATAAAAAACTATATAAGGACAAAACTATACTACTGTATAGTTTTTCATAGACAATCTTTTTCAGAACTAATATATATGGAATATAATAACTCTAGTTCAAATGAAATTAATATAATACTTATTATTCACAATTTTTTTGTTTTAAATGTTTAGTAAAATAATTATTTAATTTTTTGTATCGAGTAGTTTGTTTATAGACAACAACATTTTACAGAACGTAATAATTAATTCAAATGAAATTTAAAAAATATTGTTATAAAGTTTTTTTTCTCATAATTATTAATATAATTGTTATATGAATAAATGAAACGAATGAATATTAATTTTGTAATGTTTTCTAGAAATCATTAGTATATTAATTATATAATTATTCATATAGTGTAGTTTGTTCATAAATAAAACATAAGTAATATTAAAAAATAAAACAAAAAATAAGAAATTAGAAGAACAGAATTAAATAGTTTACATAATTATTAATGTCATAATAAATAATTGATTAAATAAATAATTGTTCGAGACAAGTAATTAATTTCTTCATAGATAACATCACAGAACAAAATAACAAATTAAAACAAAATAATAAGAGTATATAGTTAATGGTTGTCTTAAATGATTAGTATAATAATTATATAAAATAAACAAATAATTATATTCGTGTCTTGTAATTTATTAATAAACAATACCAAAACAAATACCGAAGAAAATAAAAAATTAAAAGAAAATGATTCAACATTTTACATAATTATTAATATCATAACAATTAATTAATTAATTAATTAATTAATTATTTGAGTTGTATAGTTAATTCATAAACAATACAACAACGAATACCAAAGAGAAAAACCAAAAAATAAGAAATAAAAAAAAACATTAAAATAGAAAAAATACATAAACTTAAAAAATCTTTCATAATTATTAAAATAATTATTATTTCATTAATTATATAAACAATTATTCGAATCAAATAATTAATTCGTAAACAACACTAAAACGAATACCGAAGAAAAGACTCAAAAATAAAAATAAAAATAAAAATAAAAAAAATAAAGAAAGACATCGTAACAAAAAGAACAGAATATTGTTATAAATACTTTTCATAATTATTCATATAATAATAATAATAATAATGAATTATTTATATAAATAATATTAAAAACGTGTCACATATTTCACAAACTTATCTAAGACAAGTGTCTCATGTATGTTTAATTTATTTCCAACTAAAGATAAAAAAAAAAACAATAAAAGAAAAAAATAGAAAAATTGATAATAAAAAATTAGTATAACGCAAAAGTGCATGTTTTTTGCGTAGTTGTGTGTAAATTATCAAAATCGGCACTTATTACAGTCAATCCATTCGATACATGCAATGATTGGATGAACTAATTGAAATCTCTAGCACTTGAATACGCTATCTGGTGGTTAAATTCAAAATTAGAGTAGATATGTCGAATTGCTACGTCACGTGGGATCTCTAGCACTTGAATACGCTATCTGGTGGCTAAATTCAAAATTAGAGTAAATAGGTCGAATTGCTACGCCCCACGCCTCTTGCCAGAGATCCCAATAACGGAAGCGAAACTCCCATTGGTCGAATTAAAGGCAATCTTGTAAAAGACAACAAACGAAACCTAACCTATCTTTCTGTATCTTTCCTTTTTTTTTTTTTAAATCTGTAAAGTGAGGATATGAAGTTGAACATCAGCTGTGTTATATTTTGTTTTATCCTTTTTCTTTATTTCTTTTTTTTTTTTTTTATCATATTGCAAATCACAGAAAAATGAAATAAAATAGAAATACTGTATAAAATAAAACGAAAAATAAATAAAAAAGAAAAGAAAAGAAAAGAACTTCATTGGTTACTATTTACTTATTTATGAAACTATATCTGTGGTGTTATTGTGTTGTACGATTTGATAAGAAAACAATTTTTATTATTTATTATCATAATTTACATTATCTCATTCTTACTGTATTTTTTGTTTATGAATGTATGTATATATATGCAGTATTTAAATTATTGTGTTGTTCGACGATGTGATAACGAAACAATTTTTACTATTTACTATCATAATTTACATTATCTCATTCTTACTGTATTTTTGTTTTGTTTTATGAATGTATGTATATATGTATGTATGTGTATATATGTAATATTTAAGTATTTTTATCATTTCATTTGTACATACATGTACATATATCTTTTTATATACATATTATATGCAATTATTTATATCTGTCTCTTTTTTTAAGGTTATGTTTCGTTTGTTTCTTACTGGATTACTTTAATTCGACCAATAGGAGTTTCGCTTATATATATATATATATTTATATATATTTAGATTGTATATATTTATGTAATATTAATGAATATATTATATTTATATATTTATAAATATATATAATCTAAATATAATATTAAAATTCTATACATGTAAGGTTAGGTTTCATTTGTCACTTACTATATTACTATAATTCGACAAATAAAAGTTTCCCTTATATATACATGTGTAAATAGCAATATCCATCTCTTTCTATTTCATTTTAATGTATAATATGTGTATACAAGGATTTGTAAGACATCTATCTCACTCTTTCTATCTCTCCTATTTATATAATGTATAACACAAGTATATCTATGCATAGTGTATTCCCACCACTCAGATTCTTTAACCCGCCCCCACCCCCCACCACTAGATACTCCCACTCCTCTCTAATCCTCCTACTACTCGAACTAATCGTACAACCAACCACCACTCTAAGCCACCACCTTTTTTTCCCCCTCCCACTCTCTCTCTCTCTCTCTCTCTATCTCTGACTCACTCACTCACTCACACTTTCTCACACTTGTTCTATTCTTTACTAATACATTTAAGAAGGTTGTCGGTGTCCGTCTGTTTCTCTCAATAGCCTTTACAATTTTTTTTTTAATTTTTTTTTTTTTAATTTTTTTCAACGTTTTTCTTCTATTTCCCCCCACTCCTTCTCCTCCTCCTCCTAACACTTTGCATTTGTTTCTTGCCTACTGTTTCATTCTCATTTTCCTCCTCCCCCACCACTCACGGTTTCTCACTCACTCTCTCTTTTTGTTTCTTTTTGTTTTGTTTTATTTGTATCTAATACGCTCGAACGAACACAAGCGATCGGATATACAATTCTCGTCGACGGGATTCAGCTTCCGCGTTCACGAGAAGGTAGACATATTACCTTTCTCTCATTCTCTCTCTCTCTCTCTCTCTTTCTTTCTTTCTCTCTTTCTCTTTCTTTCTTTTTTTTCTTTCTTAATCTTTTACTCTCTCTTTTTCACTCTCTCTTTCAATCTTTCACTATCTCACTCTCTTTTTCTATTCTTTGTTTGTTTTATTGTATCATTCTCTATCTATTTAAAATTATTATTATTATTGTATTTTATATTTTTGCAAATTCCTTTTTGTTTTGTTGTTTTATTTTGTTTTTAGTAAATTTTAAAAGTTTCGTGTACGTTAGTCGATTGAAAATTATATAAGGTAGCACCCTTTTA